AGTGTCCCAAGAAAGACTATCGTCTTTAAAACCCTATACAGTCATCATTAGAGGCTGTATTTTTAGGCACTGAAAGTTACGTTTCAGACATTGAAAATAGGCACGCAAAATGAAGTTTTAGGCCCATAAAATCGTAATATTAGGCACAATAAACTTTTACAGAAATTCAAATTTTTGAAGAAAGACATGCGTTACCAATGGTTTAATACAGCCATGTAATTGTCCTTCTTCCCGCATGATTTGCAGAACACGGTCTTTTTTTATTGTCCAGCGTGGTGAATTGAATGTCCGCCTTCGAATAAACATGCTCTTGGTTATCGTTGTTTTCAGCATGGCTGAGAAGGGCAGCGCAGTAGCAAATAGACCGGTGAATGTCCAGAAGGATCTTTTAGCCTGGTTTAGGCTGGCTATAATCACATAGCAACAATTTCTCCTGTGTCTGTGAACACCTTAAAGGGTAGCCGACAAGTGTAAGGCATGCACTGGGTGCTTACAATCACATCTGCCAAAATTTGCAAAGCTACGCATCCGGGAAAGTGGTGAAGTGGTGAAATTTTTGCATTGAAGTGTCTTGGGACACTTCAGCGCAAAACTTTTTGTCTGTCTGTTTGTCTGTGTCTGTCTGCTTGTCTGTCTGTCAACCGAAACGACTGAAGTTCAACCACTTCCTCAACGCCCATCAATTTTGATCTGTTTGCTGCATTCATACTTGTGCACATTTTGATGAAAAATATTGTGCATATCTGAGGCACAATATCAACACAGACTGAATGCCGCTTGCCCTTCAACTGATGGGCGCCTGCCCCAAAATGGAGGAGATGACGTAGAAGAAGGAATGGTCCTGCGTACGTCACAGTAGTACCCGACACTGCAAGAATTTTTCGAGACGTGTACTTCGTGCAACTTTTGTTGAATGGAAGAATAAAAGTTGATAGACATACTGAACATACAAATAGAGTCTGTACGCGTTTGTCTGTACCCCTGGTGACTGCAAAAACCAGTCGAGAATGTTCATATAATTGCTATCCTATTAAAAACAAAATGGCTCTTGCCTTTGAGTCGTCTTAGGCATATGCGTAAAGTACCTTGTGCGTTTTTTTTATGCAATATTTTGTAGAGGTCACGGTAGGGGGCTTTTGGAGTATACACAGAACGCCCTAGCCACATAAAATATTGTTGCAAAAGGAAAATAAAGTTTGTTAGATTGTGTTGTTTTAGCACATAGATGAGTCCCGAGGGAGGTTGGCTTTCTGAGACTAGCTAAATCACGTCATGGGACTCCCAGCAGTCTAATCGGTCGTGAAAAAAAAAATGTTTTTTTATTCTTGAGGTCCCCTTAGGGAAATGCAGTTGGGACTATGCGAGTCTTTTGTACGTCACAACGTGTTTGTCTACCATATCTGCTGGTTGCCAAATAGGTGTATTTATATTGTTATTTCATGAAGTACAATTTTATTCAACCAGTATTATATTTATTTGCTACGAAAATAATCATTAAACAAGTTTTTTCAGAATGCTTAATAGCATGACACCATTACTCTTTCATCAACTGAAATAGGGAGTGCTTCAAAAATGACTAGGTCCATGAATGAACCTAAATATTTCTAGCTCTTCACTAGAGCCTCAGAATAATTTTTCATCTCCTTGAATGTAAATGCAACTTGCTTCTCCTCCAGGATTTGAAGCTAGCTGCTCCAGATTGCTCCAAAGAAAAATTTTGCTGCTCCGAAGTAGAAAATTTTGCTCTTTCAAGGTGCTCCAAAATGAAAAATATTGCTGCTCCAAAATTTGCTCCAAATCTGAAAACCTCTGTAGCATCACTGCATTTCACATTTGTTCTCCATCTTCCTGTGGCTGCACAGAGGCAACTCCTGTTCTCTGCTCCCTACCATGCCCAGGTCTTCAAGGAGGTTCTTCAATTTTTGGGAACACTGTAGTGAAAAACTGGCTATAAAAGCTGCCTTCTGTGTACTTTGCCAAGCACACTACTCTCCTCTTTTTCCCCTGTCTTCTTCTCCCCTTCATTTTCCTCTCTCCATTGCACTGTATACACTGGGACGGGCTCTCATTTAGGGTTGCAGAAATAGTCTTTTCCTCTCCTCTTCCTCTTACATCTGTTCGCGCCATGTCAGTGCTGTGGCATAAGATGGCCAGGGTGTCCCATCGCATGGCTGCTAGCGGCTGTTTTTTGAAAGTTCGTTGAACTAGAAAACTCAATTGCACCCTATAGAGTTCTAAAAGGTGAATTTCCCTAACATGAATAATGGTGCCAAACTGTACTGGAAAGCAAAATTTGAGGTCAAATAGTGGTCATATAGGCACTGATTTTGAAAATAGGCATTTCTAAGCACCTATAAGAATTTAGGCAGAGAGGCCAAAAATAGGCGCTTATAGGCACTATATAAGCACCAAAAAAGACTAAAACACAAAAAAATCGAATACAGAAGATCTTTAGCATTGGAAATTTCAAATGTTCTTAAATATTAACATCTATGAGGCCGATTTGGAACTCCAAGTTTATAGGGAGCAGACCCATGTCTGCCACATCATTGGACTTCCACAGAAATTGAAAAAGGAGAGGCTGAGAAAATACAGTAAAACTTGGATTTAACAAAACTGACTAATTCCCAGAAAAATTTGTTAAAAATAGGATTTCATTATATGCAAGTTTCATACGAAAGTTCGAAAAATAAATGGACAAATTAAACAAAAGGGGAACTGAAGGCAGAGCTCACCTAAAACACTTATTTAGCGGTAAAAAACAGCATTATTATTATGATAGTAGCAGGGGTGCAACAACTGTGCTAGTTGTGCCAATTTAATACAATTCTGGATTGTTGTGCCGAGCTGCCCCTAAACTGTAAAATTTGCTGAAATTTCCCCACGCTGTGCCAAAATTCCCAGCCAGCCTCAAAATTTTTTCAAGTGTGCTGATTTCGGCGAGAAATGCGGGCCATGTCGGCCGCTTGCAGTTTGCACCATTAGTAAAAGCGCGCAGACCCCAAGTATAGTGCCTAGAATATACTTAAATTGACCAGATAAAGTAAGAACGCTGCATGCCCGTCGGTCCGCTGACCGCAGTGGATACCTATTGGCGGGACGATGGAACTTCAAGATAAAAATTCGTTGCTGTAGCCACCAACGCTTCGTGTGAATGTAAATTTTATAGCCTGAAAACGCAGCTATGGCTTGTTAAAAACTGAAGCTGGAAGCGTATGCTGCATTTTTCTTGCGTGAACAAGCTCGATGTGCTGCGAATGCCGGCATTGCCAGGGACCACGTTGATTGCCTTAGCAGTGGCACATGATTTTTTTATTATTATTATTGAAGTTTTGTTGTCCCAACCATGGTCCTGGTGATAGATATCCGGTACCGTCGCCGAGCCAACAGGTGTGCGTCACTGTTACTTTACCTCGTTGAATGCACCTTGCAAGGGAGCAGAAATGGCACTTGTCTCCACGGTGAAAGAAAAAAAAGGGGAGGGGGAGCGGGGACGGTATAGCGGTTTGAAAATTTCTTGGCTTTGGTTCTAACCCGTGCAAAGAATGCTTTTTAAGTCATCTTCGCCGCAGTACACAAATGCCCTGCGAAAAGCGTATTGAGAAGCGTATTGAGAAGCGTATTGAGATATGAAAGGGGCTGTTAGTGCTAGTCACGGGACAAGGCACATTTTGTTGCATCATTCATGCACCACATAATTCTGAATACCAGTATAATTACTGATGTCTAACTAAGATATTGGCAATCATTTGGAATAGTGTATGACATTTGTGCTCCCCCCCCCAACCCCCCAAAAAACGAAATTGTGCACCAGTTTTTTTTTTTTGCCACCCCTACTTCTCAGTTAAAATTTCAAGGTTGCGAGCTTGGTAGATTCGTATTTGAACTCGCAGAGTGTGTCAAATAATTTGATAGGCCCAACAAATGCTAATATAGACTTCATCATTGTTTGCTCAGTGGGGTGGTTCAATACACTACTTTCATTGAAATAGCAGTGCTCATGTTCACAATGCACGATTCAGGTTGTCTTGAGTGGTTTATATATATATTTTCTTTTTTTTTCTAAATGTAAGCTTTCTTTATTATACTGCTCCAAATTTGGTATTTTGTGAGAAAAAAAATGCATGATTTTTCTCCCAGTAACCTGCTTCAAATCAGGATTTTAGTGTTCCAAAAGTAACATTTTGCTTTCCGAAAAATTGCTCCAAATTGCGTATCGGCTGTTGCACCCCTGTAAAATGCAGAAAGCTCAATGAAGAACATTTTTGTGCTAGTTATTGTACCTTTATATTGTGGGAGTTTGACAAAGGTTTGCTTTAAATGAAAAGTTTGATTGCCCAACTTGTGTCTATTTTAAAAACCTTGGGTACCCTATTGAAACATAGTTGCTGTTGTTTTCACTAGTTTCCTTTTTTATGTTGCAATCTAACTATTCGTTCATTTCTCAATTCTCAATAACGTGTGAGAGGAATTTACATGACCTGACTTGGAAGCAAGTTTTGTTTTTGTTTCTCTCTTTTTCAAGGGGGGGGGGGGGGGTTAACTGTATGTATTGCTTCTGCACTATACTTCTTAAGGCTACAAAGAGATGTGTATTGCACCGTTATGGTCATCTAATGGCTAAAGTACTCAGCTACTGACCCGCAAATCATGGAATTGAATCCCGGCTGCAGCACCTGCTTGAGGCGAAAATGCTGTAGGCCCGTGTGCTCAGATTTGGGTGCATGTTAAAGAATCCCAGGTGGTCGAAATTTCTTGAGCCCTCCACTACGGTGTTTCTCATAATCATATGACAGTTTCGGGATGTTGAACCAGACATATCAATCAGTTAAAGAGAGGTGTAATGAAGAAATAAGAGCCTTTATTTGATAAGTTTTTGCATTTGTAGAGTTGTAGAAGTGATTACAACTGATGTCTGAGTATCATCAAGAAAGGTTGTAACACAATACAAATATATATTACTTTCTGAAACTTATTCATCATGTGTGCTTTCTATGCAGTGTATGCCCAGTGCAAGGAGAAAAACCGCAATAACTTTTCCTGTGTTCGAGACATCAATCAAGGTACAAAGCCTCATGCTTGCTATTTAATTCTATGGTGTGTGGTACAGCCTGTTTAGTGTAGTATATGAATTTACAAAACATAGAATTGTCTGCTATAACTGCTTATATTTGGGCCAGTTTTAAAATCACCTAGCAAGAGGGCACATGCTATTCAGGTGCTCGTTTATTCTTCATAACTCATGCCTAAAACCAAAGTCTTCCATGAATATAAGCTACGTTAATGCTCAAGAGTGCTAAGAGTGCTAACTTGGGCCAATGTGTCAACTTTTTAATGCCTGAATTATGAAACTGCTGAAGAACATAAAAATTGCTTTCATTTTCTAGATTTAAGTATCGTATTTACTCGCATAATCCTCGCACTTTTTTTTTGTGGGAAAATTGATGCAATGTTGGGGGGTTCGAGAATTACGCGGGGAAAACTTTCCACGAAAACGTACAGAGCGAAAAAGAAAACAAAGAGGCCAAAAATTGGGATTCCCACACCAGCACCTAACATCAAGCTTTGAGAAGTACTAATTAAAATTCACCTTAATAAAAGCACAGGTTCAACACAAGGCAAGATTTATTCGAGGCACAAAAAGTGCACGCAAATAGTCGAGAATTAGAATACCTTTACGCACAGCTTGTGCGCGTTGCAGGCGTAGCAGTAGCATTTGTCACTCAACAGGAGCTTTCAAGAGATAAGAGTAGAATGTTAGTATTGGGCTGATGGCTATTTAACAGAATCGTCTGCAGTTTCCTTCTGAAGAAATAAAGTTTATCATCAATCCCAGTCTTATGCACACGGCAGCCCCAATGCCTCTTGGTCGCTTTCAGCTGCCGTCACCAGTAGCGAACACAAAACTCGTCGACTCCAAAGGGCCTATCGACGGCCCTGTTGCCGTTGTTTAGTGCATGATCTATCACTTTCAACTTGAAAGCAGCTATGTAGCTTTAGTATCGCCCCATAACGTGACAAGATTACAGACACAACATACAAAACACGCTGCAAAGCGCACTTGCCGCTCTGGCTTGGCTTGGATTAGATTGAATTTTCGTGCAATAATAGTACGCTTGATGCTTAAGAGATGGTGCGCGCTATCATCATCAATGGCTGGGACGAGCAGACGACATTATTGCGGCAATTTTCGGGGGTGTGATAATTACTCGAGGAAAAAAAAAATCGTATTTTTGTTGGGCTATGTGGGGGGTGCAAGAAATATGCGAGTGTGAGGATTACGCGAGTAAATATGATAGCAACTTTTAAATTATTCTAAAGTTAAATTAGCTAAAATGTGCAACTTTTTAATGCATACATTTATCTATGTCGCAAATTCTCAATATGCCACAGAAGCGAGGACCTTGCAACAAAAAATATAACATGGCAGGTGCCACAACTTGTTTGCATACACACCAAATTAAAAAAAATTATTGAAGATAGAACTTAGTCACCCAAGCGAGAAAGAACAAATAAGTGAGAGCTGTTGCACGTGTGTTGCGCTGTCCGCCAACAGGTACATAACAATTCATTCTAGCATATTACACGAAACAGAGCAAGATATTTCGTGCTGTAGGTTACGTTCACCATGAGTACTTGACAGCCAGCATTAAGAGCGGCGCACATTTCATGATTTGCTTGCTCGGAAGTTTTTCAGTTTGTTGCGAATTTGCGAAACTCTGCAGTAGAAAGTTAAATGTCAGCATTCTGAAACATTGCATGCATAACGACTAGGATAAATAACATAAAGACAAATCATTGTCTGTGTAGTGTTTCCTTAGCACTGTTTAAAGTGTGTCATTTCGCTGAGTTTTTGCAGGGGATAGAAGTTGATAAAGACAACACAAATGATTAAGAACTTGTAGCTGGGCTAGCGGTTGAATTCGTTAAAACATCTTCATTATAGCACTAAAAAGACAAACACATGAAAGACAACATGACAAGCACTTTTCCTGTAGTCTCTCAAGTGTTTGTCTCATTAGCACTACTAAAATCCTGTTGTCTCTCGTGTTTGTCTTGTCAGCACTAAACTGAAGTTGTCTTTAAGTTTTGTCCATCTCATAAACCTCAAATTAAAATCTATGAACGTAAACCAGCTAACCACTATTGTGACCTTGCTGAAGGTCAGAACAATGGGATTAACTCTTTTGTTACCACAAAAAAAAAAGGTCATTTTTCATAGGTTTTGTCAAGAAATTTTTTGCCGGTTTACTGAGTACTTCAGCACACATTGCAGAATGCCAAATTGTGCATAGTGAAATGATCTTTCCAAAAAATATATGTTGTAGTGCAAGAAAAATATTATGGAACATCGAAAAATGTGAAAGCTTGTCATTTTGCCCCATCAGCTGGTAAGCGCAGCAGTAAAAAAAATATGTTTACGAAAGCATTCCAAACATAGAAAACACAGAATACACATTTCGGAGATAAATGAACTACAAATAGTATGATAAATTACTAAATGCTTTAAACAGCGTTTCTTTTAACATGCACGCACGGGCACACACACAGACACACACATACGCACGCACGAAAAAAAATTCTAGAAAAAAGGTACTGCTTCATTTCTCATGCCATGTGGTGAAGCATTTACTGTTTTTTTTTGTGAGATACAGGTGCATTCATGCACTTTTCATGCAATATTTTTGTTTTCTTGAGAACGGTCTGCTGGTGTTTCAATGTAGATAGTAGGCCGGGATGTGGACCATGCCTAGATAAATCAGAAGTCCAATGAACTTCACCAGTTCGTCTGGTTTTGCGTCATTTTATGAGCGACCTCTCTCCACTAGGTTGGCATTTCAAAATGTGCATCTAAGCATATTTATAAGTATTTTCGCAGATGGTATTGGTCATGCGGTCGTGAAAAAGAAAGAAAGAAGTCTGGCGCAGTCGTAAAATGGCTTGCACTGCTCAGTAGTGTAGGTCCGAGAAGTGCGGATGACGTTCTTGGCGGGAAAGAAAACTTTGCAGCCGGGGCCAGCACATCACAGTCGAGCGACATGTGTACCTTGCCTGTCACCTGCATATATCTTAGGTTGTGTACAAATGTCGGCAGCTATGCATAACATGATGGAGAAGACCACTTGAGGCCATAAACGAAATCAACCCCCTGAATGGCTATGAATTTCGCAGATTGACACAGCACATCATCCCTGTCAGAGCTTGAAACTATGGTACTGTCACCTTTGAACTCAAAGGCTGTTTCATTGGCACTCAGTTCAGGTGCGGTCGCTAGATAATTTCGAGCTTGTGTGCGTTTTTTATGGCACAGGTGCACATTAATGCTTGCATGACGCCACCACCAAGGGAGCTACTAACGAAAGCAGATGTGCCCCTCTGTCAGATTTAACAACAGAAGTGAAACCGAAGCTGCTGGAAGCTAGCTGTAAAGGCCATGTGCACGCATTATACATTTGATGGAGCTTCTCAAATAAGTTTTGGCGAGATAAGCCCTCGCTGACTCGAAACAGCAGCTCTCTAGTGAGCAACTGCCATAAGTTTCTGTAACAATTACTGTTCAACAGTGTGAGTTTGTGAATATGGCACCATAATTTAATATTGGGCTTGCAGGAGTTTGTTTTACTACGAAACTTTGATGTTACTGAAGCATAACCACAAGTGGTGTGGATTTCTTACAAGTGCATCAGCCAAGCACACTTTCCCAACAACACATGCACATAAACCATGATGTTGCCAAAGTGGGCAAATTCAAACTGATTGTGAAAGTTCAGTAACTGGACTAGCCACTTGAAAGTGCTAGGTGCCCTATAAACAAATTCAATATGCCAAAGTTGATGAAGTAAACAGGTGATTGATTTGAATAGGTGTGGTAACGAAAGAGTTAAGTAAGCATCAGTACTTATAATTATGAAATTGTGATTTTTTTGTAGTGATTGTTTTTGTGTTAAAGGAATCGCAAATTGTATTTTGGAACAATAAATGGTTCATTGCGGGGGGGAGGGGGGGGTAGTGGGAGCTTTCGAGTGCTCCATTTTAGTGGGGCTCCAGTGTTCTCTTTTAATGACCAGTGCCACACTGAAAGCTTTTGTGTTTTCTTCCTCTTGTTCTTCAGAGGTCATCTTAAATGTACCTGGTATCCTCAAGCGTCTGGTCATGATAGCTTGTGCAAAACCCTGTAAGTTAATCTTTCATTTATTTTTGGTATCCCACTTGTTTGTCTTTCATTTATTTTTGGTATCCCACTTGTTTGTTGTTTCATTTATTGAAAGCTCGTTTTCAATAAATGAAACAACACTAAAAGAACAACACTCGAAGGACAACACTAAAAGAGACCAGGACCAAGAAAGACATGACACAGGCACTGTCTTTCTTGGTCTTAGTCCTTGTTAGTGCTGTTGCCCTTCTGTGATGAATTACTGCCAACTAACCTAGAAATACTTTTCTCTTGAGCTAGTTGGTTTCCGTTCCAATTTGTCTCTTCAATAATCAACTAGATATGCCTTTCGAGTTGTCTCGTGTTGTGAAGTGTAGTGATTATGTGAGGCAGTACTGTTTGCACATGTGTACAGTCAAAACCCGCAATAATGAAACCCCGCGAGTACGAAATCCCCGCGGCATCGAAATATTTCCGGATCCCTGGCGAACGTTCATAGAAGCCCATGCAATACGTATCTCCCGGCAACGAAATGTTTTTGGACAGCGGTCCCGCATTAACGAATTTCCTACCACGGTGCGGACCTTATTTTACCCTTCCGCCAAAGATTAACTGTCGAAAATATGCTCGTATGCTTGTTATGCGCACTCAAAATTTGTAAACATCTGCTTTTGCCGTGCCAGCATGGGCTCCAATACTCACACTAAAACAAAATAAACCCTTCCTTTTCTAGAAGAAAGCCAAATAATTTAAACACCTACAAGTTTAGAGTGAGCTTATAAAAAAACGTAGGCATACACTTCTACTGGCAACTTGAAAAAAAAACTTTATTGTTCTGTGTGCACTTACCGCTGTTAGGTCACAAAAATTCATACATATAGGTGTATTTATGAAATGCTGAAGCGATGTCAGCATTTCTAATGGATATCTAAGGCAATGTGTTGGCTAGTATTATCTCATTATAGTGATGTAACCACGTGCCTATGTGAACGCTGGGATACAAAGGGCATTGGTCCTTTTTATCTCTTCAAATGGCCCTTGAAATGTGGGCCATTCCTGTGTTTTTACACAGGAATGGCCCTACCTCGCTATCTCCAGTCTTGCCAAGCAGACGAAGTTACAAAATATGAAGCAGGCTCTTTCTTGAGCGAGATGATGCCAACAACAGCCGCTCTAGAAACTCATTTGGTTTTCTAAGCTTTATTGTTTGAGGTAAAAAGTTATTGGAAAAAGCTGGTGTAGTGCTAAAAGGTCCAAGAGCAGGGCGTTGTATACCATGGGTGTCTTCTGTCACACATTTCCTCTGAAACAGTGGTGATTCGAAGAAGTGGCTTTGGGCTGATTGGCGTAACTACTCCTCCCCCAGCAGAAAGGCTTTGGTGTGTGTTCTCACTGCAGCAGAGTATTCTGTGACATCATTGTTGGTGTATAAAACCTGTTTCTTTCTCCGACGCATGCTGAAAACACACTAAGTTTAAATCGTGGCTGGCCATCTTGGCATCTCCTAGCCAAGCTAGATAAGGGTAGTGGGATTAGGGGAAAGCGAAAGCAAGCAGCGGCGACAAGGTGAAATGTGCGAAAATCTTAGTGTGTGGTGTAATGGCGCCACAGTGCTTTTATCCCGAAGCTTCAGCACAGCAATGTGCTGTCTGCCAACAGGCACTGACAATTGTAGTCGCTTGTGCGTGGTATTTTCGTCGGTATGATTAAAGTAACGAGTTAGATGGGAAAACCTCGGTGAAAGAATGATTAATTTGCATCAGGTTATAAAACTGGGTAAAACAGAGTGAAACTGCTGCCCTCAACTGCTGCTACACTGAATGACTAGGGTGGTCATTTGTACCTGTCACAAGATTTGTAGTACAGGGCTGGCCAGTATCACGACGCAATAATACCTCAGAGATACTTCTGAGTTCCTGTATCGAGATACATTTGAAAAGTGTACTTATATCGCAGTAGTGAAGTACTTTTTCTATGTATCGAATGTATTGGAATACTGCACAACACGCAATCATCTCACTACTCTATTTGTCGGAACTAAGCCACTGTGTATCGAATAGCTAAAGAAAAGCTTGCGTGCACTTAGCTAGGCATAAGTGCTCCGTCATGCAGCGACACATGGAGACCAGCAAACGGTCTTTCACACACACAGAATGTTCTCTGTAGTTAACTGTTCAACGTGACTGACAAAATAATCGAGGAGGCAGTGCTTCAAGGCCGGTGAAGCACTGCCAATTTTTTTTTTTCGCAGAATTTCGGTATTTAGTTGTCATAACACGAAGTTGTGTTTATTTACAATGATAGCCTTTTCTATATCGCCAGTCTTGAATTGAAACTGAACCGGCACTGTCTGGATGACAGCCTGTTTTAGAAGCTGCTGTTACTTTAGTGTAATCAGCGTAAGCCTTCTCATAAAAACAGACCGATTATTTGTGTAAAATAAGGGCGTACTTTATTTCACATCAGTGGTGTTTGTGAGTCGAGCGATACGGCTGACTTGCATTTCAATTATCCGCCGCATTTTTGACAATGTTATGGTACAGTTAATCAATGTACAGGCTGTTTCATACTCGGGGGAAATCTCGGAGCGCCTGGCATTGCGATGTGACTAGCGCTGCAGTCGCGTGCCGGCAGCAGCTGATGTATACAGATGCTTCAAGGATGAATGAAGAGTTGCAACGGCAGGGCGCATGCCGCATTGTCTGACAGCGCACAGATATCGTTGTTAATGCGGGAACTGGGCTGATACCCTGCACTAATATTTTTCAGAAAAATCTGTGCCGCAAGATGGGATATGAAGAAACAATTAAGGAACGACAAAACTCGCGCGTGATTTTTTTCTTCGTGTCCCATCTTGTTGCGCAGTTTTTTCATATGTTCTCGTACCAACTTGCCCGACTTTGAGCGCTTGTCTGCACTAAACGTTGTGCAATGACAATCTGTCAGCCTTGATTTGTGATAATGGGGCACTCTAAACAGTGTTGGAATTTTTGCTCAATCGAAACATCGTGGTACTGTGTGTGTTCACAAATGTTTTTTCATTGTGTGTGCATTCTAGTAAGCTTGTATGAGGAAGAAGTGATAATGAGCATGCACCATGTGTGGTCTCTATGTGACTTTAAATAAAACAATGTACTCAGTGGTGACTGCTGGGCAGCTGAGCGGGTTTAACACAACAAAACAAATGGGAATGAGTTCAGAAAGGATATAGGATAGAACAACCACCTGAACATGCTAATTTTCGATGATATTTGATTACAACAGACTGGACTCACTCCCAGTGCTTAAATGCACTCGTGACGTTTTCAAGTTCATGTCCCCAGTGGTAGCAATTATGCGCTCACTCTAGACGGTAGTGAATGCTTGGTGTCAGTGATGTGTTCCGCCGCAGCATGTTGACGATGGGAGTGTGGCATCACAAGATCCAGATTGAGCTGAAAACGGGCTCGTCTGCCATATGTCCCCCCCCCCCCCCCTTTTTTTTTCTTGCCGGAAAAGAGCAGTGCTGTGTTTGCGAAGATTATTGAACTGTAGCAAACACAAGACTACACTACATTTAAGAGCTGGCTAGTGAGTCTCTTGGTAATGAAATGTCGTCGTAAAGAGACACGTTCAGGTTTTGTCCTCACCTAAAACATTCCTGAATTTCTTCCCATTTGTTTTACTGTGTCGAGCCACAGCAGTACGACTCTTACTGTTGAGGGCTTTTTTTATTCAAAGTCAAATCATGACAATGCACATTGCGTGCTAATTGTCCTGTCTTCCTCGTCCCAACGTACTCCATTTGTTTTAGATTCATGTCTTCAAGCTTTGACAACACAGTATTCATGCCAAATAGGCACTGTTTTTGTGAGCCACACTCAAATAATTCATTCCGTATGCTTAACACGTAACAATGAGTGTTTCACAAATATCTGAGAGAATGTATTACGTGTTTGTTAGTTTCTTCTAATTCTTAATAGCTGGCATCATATGTCCAGACACCAGCTTGAGGACACATTTGGTTTTATGGTACGCTGTTTCAAATACAGTCGAGCCCACATATAACAGCACCACTTAAAACGAACTTTCGCTTAAAATATACATGTTAATATACATTATTTCAATGGCACAAAATTGCACTTACAACAAACATCTCTGAGCGTCGCCGATCGATTACAGTGAACAAGTCGGCGCTCCGGTAACTTTCCGGGACACCACTTGACCACTGATAAGCCACCAGCGAGGTGCCCATATATTCTTATTGTTAAATGCTGACCCTGCCTCCAAAATCCTAAAGTTTTCGCTCTCTTCAACCATTTTTCGTTATGCACCCCTTCTGTCCTTTGTCCCCCCACTACTCTGAGCACCCCACATTGCCCGACGAGGCCTGCGTTTTCTCAATGCCACTGATCTTTCAAAGACCGGTTGCCAACTAGTCTCCCCGCAGTTTTTGATCGTTGGTTTTGTTACACTATTGTTGTGGTGACCTGGAGTGACCAGACAATTTGCCAACATTGTCCACCATTGACTCTACCTGATCGTCTGCGTCTCGTCAGGATCGGTGTCGTATCGTTCCAGTGTACGCCCTTGCGCTACTCCACTGACTTTGATAATTAGCAATTCATCCTGTATTTAGGATCTGTTTTCAATCAATTTGCACTCGGCTCATCATGGTCTTCACATGTGTTCGGAAGGAATGAATCGTAAATTATTGAAGTTGGTGGAGCTGCACAAGTCCGCCGGCGCCACAATGAGATTCTTTGACCTCTGTACTCGCAGGCCACTCTCTAAAGTTTTCCTACGCGTGAGTTGCGCGTTTTCTGGACCCTACAAGCAACCGACCCAACCTGCCTTCTTCCTGTGCGTTTTGGTTTTCAAGGTCACCTTCCTACCGTATGCTCCAGTCTCTTCACTCTATCCCAACTCCTTCGCGCATCTCTCGCAAGTCTACTCTCCTGTCTTTGTTGCAACTTCTTCGCATGTCTCCACTGCTTTGCAACTCCAGCCACACTGGCTCAAATTCAGAAGTTTCGTTTTCT